TTTGTCAGCCGTGGTTATAACATATCACATGACAGTAGATTTAAGTCGTCGAAGTCATTTATTTGTGCTAAATTTTTAAACTGTCAAATTTAATGTGCTGCCAGAAGTTATTTTAGTCTTATTAGAAATTCATACAAAAAAACGTGAACATTTTATTTTTCTACTCTTCAGGTTTTCAAATTCTACTTTTCATTTTCTTTGGATGGGAAATTTTTACTTTTCAGTTTCTAAGAAAAATCTACTGAAAATTACAAAATATATACAAAATATTCAAGTAGGTACAAAAACCAAATATTAAAATTATAATTCATGACTTCACCCAATGTTCTTTTTAAAAAACTGAAAAATAGAAATTTTTCTTAAAACTTTATTAAAAAGCGTTTTTATGTGTGCGTATAGTTGTCAAAAATACAAAAACATATACAAATATTTTTGTTACCCTGCATTTACACGTACAAGTTACTTGCAAGAAAGTTGCAATACATACAAAAATTTTACTAACACATTGAAATATTTCTACTTGCTTGTTTACTTGCAGTTCAACTTGCAAGAAAATTTTGCTGCCAGTAATTTGAGCAAGTAATTTGACATATTGAGAAATTCACAAAAAAAAATTTGTTGTTTTGATTTTTTTTTTTTTTAATTTAAAATTTTTCAATTTTGTTTTGAAAAAATTAAACTTAGCAAACTTATGGTTTCTAAAATTTATAAACAATTATATATATTGCTAGTTGTTTTCTTCTCAAAGACATTTTCAAAAATTAACTTGCTAAACGCCTACGTCATAATAGCAAGTAATTTGACATTTCGAAAAACTAATTGACAATTAATATTATACAAACTTGCTTGCAAGTAACTTGTATGTGTAAATGCTGGGTTAGAAATACACATCACAACATGCTCATAATATATGTATAATTCAAAAATTTTTCAAAAATTTACACATTTTTAAAATCTTGAGATTATTCAGTTCATATGATTTGATTTTCAAATTTTTTTTTCAAAAGACCACTATATTTATTTTTTATTATTAAAAGTGCTGACTGCGTTATTAAGTACACATTTTGTTATAGTATGTGTAGACACTATCTGACCATTGGTGCAGCGGTTATTGCACCGGCCCTTTAAACAAAGGGTTTCGGGTTCAAACCCCGGTCAGGTCACTATAAAAATTATATTCAATATTATATAACTTAGTATGCAATACTAATAAATATTATACAAGTAATTTTCAAATATTCATAATATTCGATACTAAAGACTAAGAAAAAGTAAACAGTAAAATATTAATAAACTGAAATATTTAATATAAATAAAAACTACGGTAGGCTAGTCACCTACCTAGCTAACACTCTATGACTATAGAAACTAGGGCATGATAGATATCAAGCACTAGCCCTATACTCCTCCTAGGAGTGAAGAAGGAAAAAAAAAAATGTGTAGACACTAACACATAGATATTCGTTTTTTATGAACAAAATAAATTATGTATTTACAACTCGAAAAGATATCTTATTAAAAGTAACTAATAAAATTGTTAAAGTTGTTTAAAAATTTAAATCACGCAATTTTTCAAGCGAGAATACTGCTATTAAAAAAAACTGGAGGCGGTAACATATTGCTCGAATTAAACGGTTGATTCCGTGATTTATTGTTAGCTTTCATTCATAGAAATTTGAAAAAGCTTACAGTTTCGAAAATATGTGCTGCCAAAGATGCGACTTTTATAAATTTGAAGAGGCGGAAACTTGCGAGGAGGTGGAGTTTGAAAAATTTTTTATAAGTATCTAAAAGCTAGAAAAGTTTCGGACTTCCACAATCTATTTTTACAGAAATAAAACCGATTTCAAAAACTTGAAAAGAAACGGGCTTTAGGTGACGGTTAATTTTAGCAGACATTTCTTTTTAATATTCAATTATACTGTACCGCTGCAAAAAATGCCAGCCGCAATTTTTTTCGCATTTGAATGTTTAACCTTTCTTTAAAAAGGCTCTTTCAGGGGCTATAACTTTCAGAAGAAAGAGGAAATAGCTAAAACTTTTCTTCTGCGAAAGTAAGTTTCTAGTAAAGATCTATTTATATGCTATGAAATTTCAGCTTTATATTTTTAATTGTGTTTCAAGAAGTTTTGCAAACGGTTCCAAAGACGAATGAACGGACAAAGAGAAACTTTATATCCAAAAAATTTTCAAGATTTCTAAAAAAAAATGAAATAGAAATAAATGGAAGACAAAATAATCAACATCATTAACATCAAATTCATCAACATCATTTTTAAAATTATTTGAATATATTTTAAAATTCTCAGAATATTAAAATTTAAATTTTTTATTTTTTTTTTACGTTTTGTTTTTATGTTTATTTTGTGCCCAAAAAAAAAGGCATTTCTTAATTTTCAGTTTCTGAAAAATTTGATTTCGGTGCACGTAGCGACATTTTACCAAAAACTCTTTCTTATTTCTGGTTCTGCTTTGCACCTTGAATATATTTTAATCGGTGTAACTAGGGAAAATTTTGTCTTTGCCAGATTTTGAAGTGCATTTTTGAGAAAAAAATTAATTTGATAATGCAAGATTCACTTCCATTTTGCTAATTATAAGAGTAAAATTAAATCAGTGAAAGACAACGAGGATGATTTCCATTTGTTAAAACAGAGCAACAGCCGACGGCAAAATGAACTGTTCAGTATCTTGCATGTAATATCTTACATAGACATCCAAAAAAAAAATGTCAAAAAAAAACCCCAGCGTTAAACGAAATTCGCTTTATTTTGGGAAGTCCCATTTATACACATAATATTCGTATTCATATGAATTTTGACAATTCACCTTAGCATATCTGTCTTGTTCTTTTTTAAACTTAAATGATATTATCAGCTATTCACCCTACGAAAAAACTTTGTTATGGTAGAGTTTACATATGCGACCAAATCTAATACATATTAAGAACCCGATCGTATATCCTGCTATTTTATTCAGATTGATATTATCTAATAGCCATAGACCTAACACAAAAAATTTAAAAATTTTGTTGCAAAAATTATAACTTAAGACTTATATATCTAACCAGTTCCCTTGATGGATGGAAGACTTGGTGATGGAAGATTGATGGAAGACTTGGGTGTAATAGTCTGCCACTATGCCAGTGCTACACGAATGACATAACATTGAATCTGTAACCAACCTTCGTCATTGACCTAATATTTTAACAGCCTAATCGTGTATCTCGTTTTATTTACTCACTTTTTCTTCACTTTCAAATCAGAATTCCCGCTCTTCTAATGTAACTTCGTTTTTCCAATAAGATTACTAATTTTTTCAACTGCATGTGTGCTTTTTTTTCTCAAATTACCAACTGAACGTTGTACTTTCAAAAATAAAGTAAATAAATTTACTATTAATTTTAGAAAAGAACGAGATACGCAATACCGAATAATTCACTCACTTTGTTCTTACTGGCCGAGTAAAATAGCAAGATAAACAGACGATCAGGTCCTAAATATTTTAAATAAAAGTGAACTATGATAGAAATTGTAAAATCCCACTATTTTGTCTCTTAAGTAGGATTCATTTGTTCGTGGTTTTTGAGCTGAGCTATTTGTGGTCGAATTATTTTTTCTCTTGCTTGTTCATTGGTTCTTTTGAAAAAAGCAGATCTTCTTTTTTATTATGATGCATTTATTACGTTCTTGACAGGAATTATATGTAATTGGAATAGTTCAGTATACGTTATGAAAAAGTTGCGGTCATCGAGCGGAACCACTGACTTCGAGAGCGACGAACCAGTGAATCCAGCTTAATGAATTTACTACTTTTTGACAACAATTACATATATATAATTGTAATATTTCAGTATATATCAATTTGACGTTTTTAAAAAAACTTTCGTACTAAAGTTGTAGTTGATTCAACTTTTTAAGAGGGAGAAAAAAAGCTGTACTAAAATTAAAATGAATGTCAAATCCAAATTTTTATGTAAAATACATCAGCTCGTCGTTTAACTGACGAACCAATGAATCCAGCTTTTTTGACAGAAAGGAATTATCACTGTCAAGAAAATAAATCTTTAACTACGAGTGGTATTGCCAAAATTTTCTGAAAAAATATGCTAATTTTGCACAAAAAATAAACTTTTATATGTTTATTTGTAAAAAATAAAAATAACTTCTGTCAGCGCTATATGAATAAAACAACAATATTTTATAAGGTTCCATATGAACGCATTATATAAAATTAAATATATATTTTTAATGTTAAATTAAAATAATAATACTAAATTTGAAATATTTTTAATAAGTTATAAAATTTTTTCATAGGAAATTTGAATATATCGAGGAATCATTTCCTAAACCAATAGAACAATTTTTAATTTTTGACTAGATTCAGGTGTTAATTGAAGCAGTTGTCTATCCAAAATACATCAATTAGTTTTGGAGATTGCTTATTTATATTCCAAAGGCTTACATTCAAGCTTGACACATGCAACCGTATAAACGCATGCATTTAAGCAATCAAGAGGTTTATAAGTTTTTACAAACTGTATGCAATTTTTAGTTAGCGTACTCGATTTATTTTATGCAATGATTTAGTTGTGTAGATGAACGTGCAGCGATTTTGAATTCAGGCAGTAATTGCAAAAGTAAAAGTTGTCTAAGGTACGGCCTGATACATTTCTTTTAAAGAGTGAATTATGACATTATGACATTTTTTAAAGATAACAACATTATTTGGACAAAAAGAGTTGTCGGTTCCTTGTAGAGTAATTTAATTTTTAGTGGAATAATTTTCGAAAAAAATATGCTTTTCAATTTCACTTTAAAAGTAAAATATTCCCTAATAAAGTGGAATATTTCTCTGAAAAAATATATGCATTATTCGAAAAAAAAATTCTACTTTTGAATAAAATATTCGGCTTTGGCAACAATGACTGAACAAATGATGTTCTTCCTAATTGGTAATTCTGTGGTATTGAAATACATTTGAAGCCAGAATTAAATAGTGAAAATACTGATAGGGTTTTTTCATTTGCGTACTTTAAAAACAAAGTATACACAGTGTGTATTATTATACTCACATGTACGTACATATGTATGTTCATATTTTTGGTCATTGGAAAAAAATTTGGAAAGCCATCAACCAATTTTAGCTAATAATTATATGTGCATATACGTTTGTAAGCAGTTAAATTATAGCATTTAATTAAGAAAACATTTTGGATTGCGTGTTAAAAAATGCTTACTTTAATGGCTTTAATTGCAAGGGGTGAGTTTTTTTAGAATTCAAAATTACTATAAAAAGAAAAAAATGTTTGAATTCAATTTAGTTTGCTTTTGATTATTTTCGTTTGAGTAAAGATAATAAACAAATTATTATTCTACAAGGATTTTGACTTCTACTTGAAACAATAAGTTTAAATTTTATTAAAGTGTTACTGTAAGTATTTAAAAAAATGTTTTCCAACTTGATAAACAGATGAAGAGCTGTCCAATACTACAAAATATGAACAAATTAAAAAATAAAGTTTTATTCAAGACTCATAAAAAATTCGGCATCAATTGTATCTATTTAGGACAAAAAATAATAATAGTGCGGATACAAAGCATTAGAACAATAATATGTATGTACGTATATACCTTGTGCATATTTTGGATAAATAACATTTCAAAGTTATCCAATTGTTGGTGTGTTGATACATAATATATGCAGGTACATCACTTAGTGTGTAACTTGACATAACAAAAAATTGGCAAAGCGGTCCGTAATAGACATGATGAACCGTCATATGCTCTCATTGGGCTTTGCACAAAGCCCCAAAAAATCGATTTTTTTTTTTAAATTTAAAAATGAAATTCATATGGGTAGGTATACCTACGTAGTATTTTTAATATTGCAAAAGTTAATATGAGTTATCATTTAAAAAAAACTGAATTAATGTTTTTAAGTCACCGGCCTTTGTGATTTAAAATACCTAGCACTATTGGAAGAATGCCCGCCATTGTGATGTGTGTGTTGTAAGTTTGCTTATGATATATTTTTACTTAAATGACGCTTTCATTTCATTCAGTATTTCAATTATAAGTTACAACATTTTAGGTTCTACAGAACGTGAAAAGAAAAGTGTAATATGGTTTTATTTTTTTTAAAGCAAACAGTTGAGTGTTTTTCAAGACTGAAGTACGAAAGATAGGTATACCTACGTAGTATTTTTAATATTGCAAAAGTTAATATGAGTTATCATTTAAAAAAAACTGAATTAATGTTTTTAAGTCACCTGCCTTTGTGATTTAAAGTACCTAGCACTATTGGAAGAATGTCCGGCCTTCAGTCGAATTTCTTAGAATTTTTCTGAACCTTAATTATGTTTTAATACTAGCTTATATATAACATAAAAGCCTTTAACTACTTGCAATTTGGTTCATGATAGCAATTGAGTTTAATCAAAAATCCATTATTTACAAGAGATCCAATCCAGTTAAAAATTTTTAGATATGAATAATTTTACGATCTGTCCATTTTTGTCAGAACCATCTATTTAGCTTCGTTGAAACCTGTACCACATTTTAATTTCTGTTATTTCTCGAAATATAAAAACAAAAAAGAAAAGGCAAAATATACAAAAGAAATCGCAAATATATGAATGCGAAGGTGCAGAAATTTACAAAAATTTTTTTCTTAGGATCTGCTGGTTTGCCATTCTGGTAGATTTCTACCTAACTCTAATTTGGTATATAGGTTTTCCATAAATTTTTAAATTCTTAATGCTAGAGTTCTTAAATAATTGTTATTTTTTGAAACAAAAGCAGACCATGTTCTTCTTAATACTGAAAATAACGTTTTTCCTGTTAAAGACCCTAATAAGAAAAAAGTTATTGCTTTCAGATGTCGTTGGTAAATATTGTAAATGGGAGTTTTAATTGTCCAAAAAACTAACCTAAAGGCTTACTAATTTTCTTAATTTTCAAAAGGAAAATTTTTTGAAAGAATTTCTTGAAATTTTGAGCAACAATGAAAGAAATAAACTTTGCGGTCACCAGATCAGTTTTTGTACTTTTGACTATATAGCACGCTCTTATTTTGGTAACATTTTCTTAACTGGGTAACTTTTCAAAACGTAAATTGTAATTTTTTTCCCTTCGTGCGGCAACCTTTTGTACGATCTGGTTTTGAATATAATATGCTGTATCATGCGTTCATGTACATATTTATGTTGTGTATTTAGATATGTATGTATATGATAATTAATTGATATGTGATAATTGATTGATATATAAATAGAACAAAAACGTACAAATAAAATACAAAAATTATTAGGAATAACTAAATGTGCGTGCTTAGTTTTGCAAGAATAAAATATTTTTACAAATGTGTGTGTTTAACATTCTAAACAAGAACTTTTATTGGCTTTTATGTTCAATGTTCTGGTTCGAAAGTTTTTTAAAATTCTACTTTGGAGTAGTATGTGTTATTTTTTTGTTTCAAAAGAATTTTAAAAACTCAAAAATTATTACACATTCACATAATATGTACCTAAAATTGTTTAACATTTGTTAGAAAAAAATTAAATGAAATAAATGTAAATAAGTAAGTCTAAGAAAGGGAAATTTCATATTTGATATTCAATTTACTCGTTTAATTATTGGTAGAAAAGTATAAAAAAAATAAGCTTACAGAAAAAACAGTAGAGAAATCATCAAATATATGTAGAAAAATTATGATTTTATTAATCATATAGAAAAATTATGATTTTATTATATTTTATTGTTCAACCCTATACAGTTGGTAGTTATTAGTTTTGTTTTCATTTTTCTTTCAAGAATGTTATGACAATTTTTTCTTCGTTGGATATGCTTGGCTATCATAGACTCTTATAATGTACAAGACGGGGGTTTTCGTTTATGCACGCTGCGCTGAAAATTCTACATTAGAACTGAAATACATATCTAGTTTACGCAGTCTACAAATTCTGAAACTTCTAAATAATCAGTCCGTTCGAAAATAACAGAAATGACATTTTTTATGAAATAGTACCGCAATATTTTTCGCCCTCCAATTCACTGCAAAATATGGAAATTTTAACAAGATTGAAGACTTAAAGAAAACACTGTAATAATCCTTCTATATCTGAATCTGCCATTTTGAAATTTAAAATTTTTTTGAATTTTAAATTTGAAAAAAAAAGTTTCAGGAGGAAGTGACAAAATTTAAACTAGAAGTCTGCGCTTCATTTCAAACTAAACTAGAAGTCTGCGAATAATATTGAATTTTCGAACGCACTTTATTGCAACCAGTAATTTCCGAACGATCTATATTTTTAGTGTATGTAGCGTGAATTTACGAACGTGCTACAAACTAGAACTGTTCTAGAACTGAATAAACGAAAACCCCCGACGTTTTGATATTTTTGCGTATGTGTGTATCCAAAGTTTTTTGTTCAGAAAAAAGACTATTCATTTCTTTAGTCCATACATAAATTTCGTACGGGAAGGCTGTGTCGCGGTAAAATAATTTATTTGCTGTTTAAAATTTAATTTTAATTTAAATTTAGTGAATAATTATATTAATTTTTTGTGTTAGTATATAAAATGAAGATTTATAATTTATATTAACTAAATTTTGTCTTTTGTTCATAATATGTAGCACAAAACAAAGGTGAATTTGAAAAAAAATAGTACTAAAGTTTATTTAAAAAGAAAAAATGACTTAATAAATTAGTAAGATTCGGTGTACTTTTTAAAGTTTTTATTGTAATCGTATTTAAATAAAATATAATAATATATTTGATTACGTTCACATAAATAGGTTTTGTGTCATATAAATGCTCCGAGGGTGTTACGTAGAAGGATGAGGAAAGTAGAAGAAGGAGAAAAGGAGAACGTAAATGCTATATTTACATTTACTTTGCCAAAGAACGAGGTCATCTGGGATAAATATATACAAGCATTAGGAAAAACGAATTCGACGCCACCGAAGCATTTTTAATTTTTAAGAACTTTAAATTCTATTTTTCCGCCGGTGGCAAATATCATTTAATCAATTACTTAGTAATGTCAAGATTTGAACAATTTAAATAATTTAATCTCTAACAAACGAAAGAAAATTAAAAAATTTTGTGAATTTAGTTGAATACATTTGTCATAAAATTTACTAGTTTTAAGAAAAATTGATTAAAAATTTTATTTTTTTATGTAAATATGTTATGTAGTTTATTCAAAAACAATTTTGTTATGTATTTACTATTTTGGTTTTACCTGAAAAACATTTTGTTACTTGTAATTTATTAAAAATTCAATTTGCTACCTGTAATAAGTAACTTAAGAATAAAGATGTCTGTGGCAGCTATACATATAATTGAAATACCTATATTTGTACGTATGTATATATCTTTCCTACTCTTCTTTTTCTCTTTGAAAAGAAGCAATAACGTTAAAACTTAGTTAGTTTTGATGCATATGTGCACATATGTATTTTGCTTTAAATCCATCCTTCTGTAGTATCACATTCGTAAAAATAAAAATAATAGTTTAATCAATTTTTTGTATATGTACATTTTTACGGTTGGTAATAACTAAGGCACCAAATACAAATTTTTAATTAACACAAAACGTTATTTCGCAATTATATTTCATAATTTTATTGTGAATACGTAATTCACAACAAAAACTAAATTTTTTAAATTATTTAATTTCTAGGAAGAATAACATTATATTTTTCTAAATTAATCATTCATTTAAAAATCAAAGCTTGACATTTTTTAACAAAGGTTTCTTAAAATTCTTCAAAAACCTTACATACAGAAGTCTTAATATTTTGTTTTTGAAAATTCTGTTTTATATGTGCATAACCACTGCATAGCACTGAAATGACATGAACCAAGCGGTTGAAGAATTAACATAACCTTTTTCATGTTCTTAAAAAAGTAAATTTTTCAGCAAAGTTGAAAATTGAATATTGAAGATTAAAAAATAGAATCAACACTTGTTCAAAATTTACAAACACATTGTTGATTATTCCTCTTTATAAATTTCTAAAGCATAAATACTAATCATATATAGGCAAATATAACATAAAAACTAGATTATTAGAAAGAAAAATTTTTTTTTAATAATTTCATTATTTATTTTTTTTGTTTATATTTTATTTCATTTTCCTTTTCATTTCCTCTTTAAGAATAAATGGTATAACAACAATTAGTTAATTGATATATTTGTTTCATTTAAGCTCAGTTGATGACGCTGTAAAAGCGGGAAACACATAATACTCCG